GGGATTATCCTTATCTCTTAAAGTGAAGTCCTGATCCAAATACAGATTTGGATTAGGAAACTCTTAATGAGTTTAGGAGCTCTCTTTAAAGCTATAAAAGGAGGAGGAGAGTGAACCTCCATTCATCTCATCACAACAACAATAAGATCTCAGATCGCAAAAAGAGAGAAGATAGCTACAGTAAGACTACGTCATCTTCTTCTCTTGCGCCCTCCTCCTATTGCTGCCATTACCAGTTCATTCTCTACTATAGGAGTGATCAAGAAGGGTTCTTGATATCAGTTTTTGGAAAAAAACTGATTTGAAGTCGTGCTCACATACCCTCCATCGAATTCTTGCTGAAGGATTCAGTTTTTGTGAAGAACCTGCTAATTCTGCTCCACCCTACACTGTGTCATCTTCAGTGGGAGCAATCTTTGGAGTTTTCCTTGGGTGTGAACACCTTCATTAGGAGATATTGTTTCTCCGTATCAGGTACCTCCCTCTCCTACCTTTTGGTTTTAGATATGGTTTGGTTCTTGGTTCAAGATTGATCCTTGAAAATGCAGATTTTCTAAAACAGGGAATGTGATTCCCACATGGGAGAGAGAAATTTTTGAAATTTCGCCCTACCTACCTGTAGGGTTCGGCTATCCATACGATGGATCTCTCATCCCTTCAGTTTTATACCACAAGATAGCAAATGGAGTTAGGGCAAGATGCTTAGGGCCCAAAGAGGCAAAAGTAGTCCTGAACGAAACTCATTAAACATACTGTGTCGATGTGACAACAACACTTTACAGGAGACTACCAAGGTTGGGGTATTATTGGCCAGAGATGAAAGTAGATGTGGCTAAAAGGCAAAACAATTGTGAAAAGTGTATACCAGAGGCAGACAAGAATGAGTGCCTCATAGTAGGTGATGCGAATTGGAGAAACATGTACATAGATTACATTGAAAAAACACCATGCCAGTCAACCCAGTTATGAGAAGAAAACTCTTAGCAAAATCCAAAAATTTCTACCTACATGATGAAGTACTGTACAAAAAATCTTAAACAAGAAAACCTCTACGCTACTTAACCGATGAGGAAATAGAAGAAGCATTAGACGCAACCCACAGTTCTGAATCAGCCCCACACCAAGGACAAATGGCCTTACGCAACCACATCCTGCACTTAGGCTTCTATTGGCCTATAACGCTGGAAGGTACCCAAAAGCATGTACGCAGGTGCCATAAGTGCCAGGTACATGGCGAAAGGATACACCATCCAGACAATGACCTCCATCCCATCGTCACACTGTGGCCTTTCCATACCAAGGGGTAGATTTGAAAGGAAAAGTACACCCACCTTCTTGGGGATATTGCTTCATCATAGTAGCCATAGACTACTTTACAAAGTGGGCGGAGGCCATACCACTAAGGAGAATTTGTGCAGAGAACATTGCAAACTTTCTAAGGCAACACGTAGTTCATCGGTTTGGGGTCCCAATGAGGATTATGACGGACAATGGGTTACCAATCGAAAATCAAGAAGTTTGGGGCTTATTGGATCAATATGGGGCATGATTGGGCACATCCACAACCTATTACCCACAAGAGAATGGGCACGTAGAGGCAACCAACAAAACCTTGTTGAAGATGCTAAGCAAGATGGTGGCCAAGAACCAAAAGGATTGGGCAGAAAAGTCGTTCGAAATACTATGGGCATATCGCACAACAATTAGAAAGAGTACATAGGCAACAATCTATTCTTTGGTATATGGCCAGGAAGTAGTTCTACCGGTGGAGATACAAACAGTGTCTGCTAGAGTAGCCTATGTAATGGGAAAACACTTCCAAACAGATGAGATGGACCAATTGCTTAGCGATAAACTAGAATGCATAGAGAAGACTAGAGAGAAATCATTGCAGAAGCAAATTAAGTACAAACAACTCATGACCTCTAACTTCAATAAGTTAGTGAAGCCCCAAAAATTCAAAGATGGCGACAAGGTACTAAAAATGGAACTCCATGTCAAACAAGGTAAATCAGCCAACAATTTTGTGCCTAACTAGGTCGGGCCTTACATCCTCCAAGAAGCTAACCCAACAAGGTATTGTATAATAAAAAATGTAGCTACAGATGAACAAGATGAAGCAGTGAATGGTCACTGGTTGAAGTTGTATAATGAATAATGATGTAAACTATGAATGTGAATTCTTGAAGAAAGCATGTTATATTTCTTTTGTACATATCATCAACCTTGAACAAAGCATGTTATGTTTCTTTTGTACATATCATCCATCTTGAATAAAGCATGTTATGTTTCTTTTGTACATATCATCAATCTTGAATTGTCAAAAATTCTCTCTCATAACTGTGTTTCTTATCTATGTTATTATCTATACCGTGGTCCGCTAGGAAGGCCCTAGCAATCCCAGGAGCGAAGACATATACCCTAGTCCACCAGGAAGACCCTGGCAACCCCAGGCGTGATGACATATACCCTAGTTTTCCAGGAAGGACCTGGCAACCCCAGGCACGATGACACATACCTTGGTCCACCAGGAAGGCCCTGAAAACCCCAGGCATGATGACATATACCCTAGTCTGCTAGGAAGGCCCTGGAAACCCCAGACGCAATGACATATACCCTAGTCTGCTAGGAAGGCCATGGAAACCCCAAGAGCGATGTCATATACCCTGGTCTGCCAGGAAGGCCTTGGCAACCCCAAGCGCAATGACATATTCCCTAGTCCTCCCAGGAAGGCCTTGGCAACCTCAAGTGCGATAATATATATATACACCCTGGCAACCCCAGGAAGGCCCTTGAAGCACCAGGTGTGGTGACAGGTCCAAACACTGAGCTACCTAAGAAGTGATGACATATAGCCTGGCAACCCCAGGAAGGCCCTGGAAATACCAGGTGCAATGACAAAATCCCAACACTTATCTATCTAAAATGCAATGAAAAACCATATTATTGAGCTTTATAAGAAGCGATCAATTACCTTGGTAACCCTAAGAAGGCTCTAGAAACACTAGACGTGATGTAAAATCCCAACACTTGTCCATCTAAAGTGTGATGACTTACCCCAATAGACCCAAGAAAGTCGTGGCAACACCAGGTGTGATGATAAGTCCCAACACTTAGTTTTCCAAATGTGGTAATATGTTTTGGAAAATCCAGAAAGACCCTAAAAACCCCAAGGACGATGACAGACAATGACAACAAAAAGTCATGCAATAGTAAACACGGCAATGAATCTCAATACTTAGCATACTGAAGTGTGATGACATAACCTGGCAAGGCTAGGAAAGCTTTGACAATCCAAAATACACTGAAGGACTTCGATAGGGTAAAGCCCTCAGCAATTCCAAACGTGATGAACCAATGGGAGCCCAGGCTACTAAGAACACACTCAATCTGATGAGGCCTACTAGCACTACCTTCAGCCCATTGGGCCTACTAGCATTGTGTTCACCCCAATATTTCACACAAGAGCGGAACTTCGTCGCATACAAGCTAATAGGGCACAATTGACATGAATCAAAGAAAAAGAGTTAGTAGATAGCATGCACAAAATATGGACATCCTCTTTTCCTTAAGAAATATTTGTCTTTACAAAGTACAAGTACAAAATCCTATTCCTTATACCACTCATCCCTCGTACGAGTGAAATCTCTTCCAAACTTTGTCGCTGCGATCGAATTTCTGAAATTTCCTTATCCTCCTACTCATATTGCCATATTATTTTTTGTTGGTGGGAAGCCTTGCCGAGCAAGGCATTCATGTTCTCCTTAGCCTTTGAGAGATTTGCTTTGACAACCCTTTGGCATTGGTGGAGTTCATCAGAAGCCTTTATAGTTAGAGGTTTGGACTCCTTGTAACCTACCTTCTAGAAAATGTGTGCCAAGAGAACCACCCTCTCTTTTATTTGATCCATTTTAAAGCCCATTGAGGTGAATGATGCACACGTCCTCATCCAGCTGGAAAAAAGAGACCATGAGAGCTCATCAATCGACTAATCCATAATGCAATTCATCACTTCCGCTATTGTGTTCAAAGATGCCCCCATGAGGCTATGACCACTGGTGGAAGGTCACCAGTCAGCAGCCACCGCTTTTGAATAATGATCGCCACAGTTTTCGCCATAGAGTGCGAAATGACATACTTTTCGTGCTTGTGAATGCCCTAAACAGCGACTGAATCGGGAATGGAGTAACCAACAGGCACGAGCTCATGCTTCTTGCATTAGTCCTTTAACTCCTGATGCACCAATGTGAATTCTTCAGAATACGACATGGGCTCGATTTGCAATGGTATCTCAATGTCCACCGGATCACGTTCAAACTGAGTCTCTAGGTGTTCATGTCACTCCGTTGAAACCTTGGAGGACTGGAGTTGCACAACTAAGGCTTCCCCACATGCATCAGATGCCTCATGATCAGCAGGTGTAGCCTCCTACTCGCGGTGAGATTCAAGAACCATATCCCCATGAGACTGCTTAGGCAATACACAAGCAGCCCTACACTCGTGCTCATCCCTAGAAGGCTGCTCTGGTACAACAATAGAGGACCTTTGTTCATGCCCACTTGTCACAGGGATAATCATTGGGGCCCCGTGCGGCACTCGAAAGGGGCAAGAAGCTTACGCAACAAAGAAAACACACACAAAAAGACAACAAGATGACACACGAATTAGCAAAAGGCTATTTGTATTGCATTAATCAGTAGTAAGCACAAACACATAATACAATGTCGAGGGGATAAAATTTAATTGTATTGTGTACTGATGTGCATAGTTAGTGTATCATGTGTGTCAGTAGCATATCAATACGTGGAATACAAATTTCAGACTTTTAACCCTCTCTAGAAGTTTTTTTTCACACTACATCGTTCTTGCACCCACGAAAAGTCAGTTGTATAAATGGATATAAGTGCAACCTATAAATACCATTTAATATTCAAATAGGTCTCTTTCTTATTTTATTACGCAAAATCATGTATGAAACGTCGGCATTTCAACGGTTCAACTATAAATAAACATCAGCCCCACATGCATTTTTCTAGTTGAAGTGATATGTGATGTGACAACAATACATATTTTACACCAATTTACATTGATCAACGAAAACGTTCAGAGAATAACTCAGACTAGGAGCCACCACTAAACAGGTCCTGAAGTGTGACTACTACATTCTTTATAGTTTATACGAAGTGGGTCTCGTTGTTGCTGCCAAATCCTTTTCCACCGGACCACATTTCAAATCCGTTTAGGCGTTTCTTCTCCCTTGCTCATCTCGTATAAAATCAGCAACTCATGTTTAAAACCCTTCAAGGTTAACATGAAATTTCAAATTCTCCAGAATTTCTCTGAATATAGAAAATTCCTTGTCTATATAACATTTCGGGGTTACACAAGGAATCACACACTATCAAATACTGCAACCAAAGGTATACTGTACAGGATCTCAATGCACCTAAAGCAATATTTATACAGATTTGGTTGCTTATGTCATGCTGTATATAATTAGCATGAGGAGAATGTCACGTCCCAATTCATGTGGGGAAGCTTACAGGAGTTGAACTGCTGCAATAGCTGGGATTTTCTCTCGCAGCTTCTGTGTAACTGCCACCCGAACAGTCATGACTCCTGCTGCAGGCCCCATGATTCTGATTTTCACAATAGGCTCCTCAATTGCAACAAGTTCAAGACCGCCACCTCCAGTTCCCACAAGGTATGGCCTTATTTCTTCAAGGACCTGAAATGGTTAATAAAATCACAAGCTTGTAAGATGGTAAATGAAAGATAATACCATGAACGTGAACCTATCAATATGTTTCATTCAGGTGGAACCATGAGAGAAGATGTTCAGAAGTGAAAATGATACAAATTTTGATTAACTATTGGTTAAAAGTTTATAGAGGTGGAATTATAGTTCCATTTGTGTAAAACCTTCTTTGTCACTTTTCTTTCATCCTTTTCAGTCTGTTGTTTTTGTTTCCATAAACCATAATAATAACAACAATAACTAGTCAGCAGTTCAACCAGGTTAGCGTTAATCCACCAACCTAAGGTGCTGAAACCTAGACCTAACCAATTCGGCAACTCACCAGAACATTAATTCAAATTGCTGAAGCCTTCAGGGTGAGTCACTGAGTTTTCTTATTTATGTATTTGCACAAACACAAAATATCCACCTGACCTACATTGCATCCCTAGCCAGGACAAATATGTAAGAGCACCAAAAATCTAAATACCTGAAACATTCCTAAATGCAGGCTCACTATGAAAGATCAACTACCACTTTTACAAACAATAGGGTTACAGGGGGGAGTTTTAATGGTTTTCTTTGTCAAAAAAAAAAAGGCTCCTTGTACATATGAAAGATCAAAGGTCAAGATGACCTCCAATGTAATGTTTTCTTTTTTTGGTAAAGCCTCCAATGTAATGTTGGAACAGTACAAAAAACAAAGACCTTAATAGCTCAGAATTTCCATTCAATTCCCATCAAAATCTTATTCATATTGAGAAGTCTTTTTGCATCAATACCCAACCCATAATGAACAAACTAATGGGTTTTTTGCACTAATAAGCAATGCATGATCAATTAAATGTTTTCTCACCAATTCCCAAATGTATGCCTATTGGATAAGGATAGTCTGATTATCTTGGAAGTAGAGTGGAAACACCACCAAGGGTTAGGGCTTCTGAGGGCTAAAAGTCAGTGGAAGCTACAGAAGAGTAACGGAAAAGGCCAAGGATGGGCAGAAAAAGTGATGACAAACAAGGTCAGAAGGTCCTTATGCAAAGCTCGGTTCCCCTACTTATAGAAATGGGGAAGCAAATCTTGTCCCCCTTTCCTCGGGAGGCACATGTCCTAGGAAGCGATACATGTCCCTACAGCCGTCAGGTACAACCAATTGTGGTTTCCCTAAGGTGACAATCATGCATCTGACACCCTAAAGTGGACTCCCAAGTACTAATGTCACGATCTGGCCTCACAAGGTCTGTCCCACAAGATTATATCATGCTTTAGGAGTTTCCAATCCGTGAGGCTAGGCCTCACTTGATAGAGCAAGACAGCCTATGTCATGCCTGCACGGCTCTTTTTCCTGTGGAGCTCATTGGCCTAGCCTCGCCACTTAATATCATGAGGTTTACCTATCGAAACCCTGCCTAGTCCTGCTGTGCTCATAGGCATATGTTGTGAGGTAGCCTCACTCTATCCTGCGAGGCTGTATCATTTGCCGAGCCCCGCCCCATGCCACGAGGCTGCTTTGTCTTTTCAAAGCCTTTGTTTCGTGGGACCTTGTACCAGCAGATCCCACCTGATCTCACGAAGTTGCCACCTCATACTATTACCGCTCCGAGGCACCAACTTCATTTCTCAACATTGAACTTGCCATATCCTTGGCTGATGCCTCACTCTAAAATCCTTAAATATACATCCATTGCCCAACACTAATACATGAAGGGGTATTTTGGTGCTGATGCAGATATAGAAGAAAACAAGAATCAATGGGTAAACAAAACCAATTTTCCAATTCTTATGCCAACTTCAGAATTTTTGAATGATATGATATTGGTATTGTTTGAGATTTTTAATTTATTTCTAGTTTTAGGTGTCTTAAGAATAAGGTTTTAAGTTTTCTAAATTTTTTTGTTATCCTGAAATTTCTATTTATAGACAACTTACAACATACTATTTTTAGTAATTTTTGGTGTCTTTACATTAAGTTAATTTTAGTAGGATTAATAGGATAATAATTTCTGGGTTACTATGGATTTGTCTTAGTTTTAAAGCAATTGGAAGTTTGTTAGTTTCCCAGTCTAAATTGGAGTAAAAGGACATCCAAGTTCATATGTTGATTCAATAAATAGTCATTGTAATTGAGAAAAGAGTTGGTTTGATGAAATAAGGTTTGGTTTAGTGAGTTTGGGTTTCTACCAAGAAACTTTGTTTAGTAATTTATAGTTTCTACCAGGAATCTTCTCTTTTTTTTTCTCACTTATTTTTTCTTCCTAGTGATTTATCTTATTGCTATCTGTGGGAGGTAAGGCTACATACAGGGGTCTCCTTGAAGGACAAAGGAAAGCCGAGTGCAGGAGGTAAGCTAAAGGCTAGGGCAAATGAGGTGATAGAATGATTATCTCATTATGAGTTAGATGGAGCCTATTTAAAGGAAGAGACCCCGAGGTCCCGAAAGGAAGGAGCCAAAAGTGTTTGATTCCCATTAGGAAAGGGAATCTTGGATTTGGTGTCAGTTGTCAAGGAACACTGCTACAGTTTCGCCACATGTCTTATGAGATATCTCAAGGACGAGCTTTCCTTTCGTCCGAGGATTTTCATAATACACGTGTGCTACTTCCTTTTGTGATCCTTTTAAATCGACATGGCACAGATGACGTCACTACTTATCTTGCATGTCTTCTTTAAGCCTACGGAGCATATCGTCACGTGCGTTGTTAGCGACGCGCGTATTCCTTTTGCTTGTTTCTGACCTGTGATGAACTTGTACTCGTCACGGATGTGCGATGAGCTTAAGCTTATTGCAGGTCCACGCAGGTCCTGAGCTCATCGTAACTCATTTCAGGTTATAAGCTCATCATGTGTCTATGCAGGTTCTGAGTTCATCGCTGATGTGCGATGAGTTATGGACTCATCGCAAGCATTTGTGTAGTATTGGTTTGACACCTTCTATGCTCTGATGGTCTGAGTGACCATCATGTACCTACACTGTCTACCATAACAGCAAGAGTTATCATCTCTTCCTTATTCCTTGCTCATTCTTTGGTGGACAGAGAGTTGTCTACTTGCTTTCACATCCCTATTCTTCATCTCTAATCACCCAAAGCCCTGCCTTCACCCCCACAAAGCCCACCACCAAATATGAAACTTGTAGGACCCTTACCCTGTCCTATATCAGGTGCTGTCAACTATGCCATATTTGGATTTTTTGGCAGTATTCCAGGAGAGAAATTTCACAAGAACTAAACTCTTGTGAATCTTAAATCATCAAACCCTTATCCCAACTAAGAGTCCAATTGACAACCTAAAATCTTATGAATCTCTAAGCTACAAATCTTGAAAGCAATTTTTTGTTTTCCTCTTCCATCTTCATGCTGTGGATGAGACATCAATGAGATGGTCTAACACCACATTTTAGAACTGATAACCATTATGAACAACTTGTTCACATGGATTTACATAGAAAGAGAAGCTTTGTACTGGAGAGTTGATGTGCCAGCTATAGTTTTGATTGTCTTCATTTTTCTTGTAATGGGATTGGTCCACCATAGGCTATTAGGCCTTTCTTCCTATTCCCCAAGAGGAAGATTCGATACTGTTAGGCCCATACCAGAACTCGTATACAATCCAATGGACTAGCTCACATTGCTCAAGCTCTATGTTATGTACAGGTCTATGCTAGGAGAACCAAGCACGTTCACCAGCTGTATGACACGTGTGAAGTTAGATAGAAATGACTTCCTGAGATTCCCAAATTGTAAGCCTATATAAAGGCAGTTGTACCTAGACTAAATGGGAAACCACATATCCAATCTTCTTAACCACTTCCCTTCTCTCCTTTTCACCATTTCAGGAGAGTGGACTCCTCAAAACAGTCCCTGAGTTATGCAGAATTAACATTTTGGTATTACCATCCACCAGGTTCTAATAGCAATTCCAACCACTAGAATTGGCTCTGTGGAGGATAGGGTCAAAAAGATTGAAGGTGACTTGCAAAAGGTAGCCTCAAATCTGAAGGACATCAAGGAAGCCTTATCAGTAGAGATGACCAAGTGTGATCAGATGGCTTTCTACTAGTGGTAGCAGAGGCAATGATGAAGGGTTGAGCCATGGTGCATCCGTCAAGGACTGGTAAATCTGGCGAGATGTTCCATCAAGACGTTAAGTATTATATTGTGATGCAATATGTATGGCTTGCATCACACTTCAAATCATGAGTTGTGATCGCTTGAGATTGTAATGCTGCACTATTATCTCCATTGCACCTTTTGTTGTGTGATTTTGCTATTGCATACTCTTACACTGGGGCCTTAGAGAGTGTCGATGGCATCCATACACCTCGAAGGGGAAGCCATCTAATTACCAATGATACTGGCGGTCTCATCCGCAACCAACTTGGGCAAATTTTACAGAGGCATTGTGCATGCAATTCGAACCAACAAGCTTCAAAGATTTCAATGAGAGCTTAGCCAAGTTAAGACAATAGGGGACAGACCGAGAATACCAGATCAAGTTCAAGAGGTTGGCAAACCATGTCCATGGGTGGTTGGAGAAAGTGCTAATTGGTGCTTCATTGGCAGTTTGAAGGAGGAGATTCACCTAGAGGTAAAGGCTCTACAACCCTCTACTATCATGACAGCCATGAGCCTTGCGAGACTCCATGAGGAAAAACTCAAGTGATCTCGACGAGCCATTAAAATGGAAAGTCCTAGTTATAAAGCCAATCTAGTTAATAGAACTGAAGGCATTCTAGAGAAGCTCGATGAGATTTGGGGCAAACCAGGCCCAATAATAGACCACAATCCCAGTGAGATTTACAAAGAAGTTGAAGAGACAAAGAAAAAATCTAGGATTGGAATAAAGAAGAGTTTGGAAGACTTGAAGAATCAAAGGAGGGAAGTGTTAAAAGTAACGAGGAGCTAGACAAGAAGGAAGCCCAAAGAGATATTAGTATGGAGGAAAGATCAAAAAGGTGGAGTCTAAGAGTGTAGTTAAAAGAGCTCCTGAGA